CCTGTATCTTTTTTTTTGTTATCACTATTTTCTTTTTCTTTTTTTTTTGTACTTCCTATACCATTACATAAGAAAGACACGGACAGGAAAAACTGTGTGTAGAAGTTTTGTCACTTGGTGTCATGTCCTTTATTTGTAAAATGACATTATTGATATTACAATCTCAAAGTAATTGATGTGTATTTATTTCTTAAAACACCTGTAGTCCCAGCACTTGGGAGGCAGAGGCAGGTGGGTCTCTGAATTCAAGGCCAGCCTGGTCTACATAGTGAGTTCCAGGCTAGCTTGGACTACAGGGAAACCCTGTCTCAAAAAAAACAAAAAAAAACAAACAAACAAAAAAAAAAGGTGATTCTTTAACACCTAATGGAGTTGCTGTGTCTGATCTCTCATTTTAGGCCATTTGTGACCAGCGTGACTGCTGCTGGAATCCCCAGGCAGGTATCAATGTCCCTTCCTGCTACTACTCCAAGAATCATGGCTACCAAATCGATAGTGATGCAGTAAACACAAATTCAGGTAAGCCGGGAGGGCACCTCAGATGCAATGCTTGGAGGCCTGGCTCTCTACCCTGGCCTTGTGGCAGCATGCAGGGTACTGACTGCTTTGCCACCACACCGCCACACATGACAGAGGTGGGGACTGCTTTTTATCAATGATTAGATCTTATTTTGGCATCAAGAAACAATCACCCTTTTGACTTTGGAATTCAGAGACTGTGTTCTGTTTCTGACTTCACTTTTATGTATCTTTGCAACTTTGTACAATTATCATGACCATTTTGGTTCTCAACTTTATGGCTTTTAACATATTGAATTTGAATTTAATAACCTCTGACATTATTTCCAACTCTAGTCTGGTGTAATTTTTATGAAATAGAAGCAATAACAATTTTATAAGCATGTCCTAAAAGTTGCCTAGTGAAGACCAGTGCTCATGGGCTAATCATCTTCCTACCCCAAACCAAAGAGCATCATTATGAAAGTTATGCTGTTAGGGCGATAGAGGATGACTACTCTGGGGAAGCTCCTAGTGTCAAGGAAGGGATAGAGTCCCTTTCCAGATGCTCTTGGCTTGATGAACTCTTTCTTCAGGGCTTCCAGCTCTCACATGATTTGACTGATGAGCAGGTGGAATAAAAGTCAGTCTTTTGGGGGATGTTTTCACTCAGATTTTATAGCAGGACATAGAGTTTTGGATAAGGTAATAACAGTACTTATCTGGTACAAAATATAATGTGTGAACAGGGGGCATGTATCTATTTCTTCCCTTCTTTAACAAATAAAGGTTTTTGTTAGTCCCTTTGACATAAAGTTTAATGTATGTGGCTATTATTTGCAAATTTACAGACTCAACTATATAAACCTTTTCTCCCTACATGTTAGGATTCACAGCCCAGTTGCGAAATCGCCCATCTGCATCCGTGTTTGGAGATGACATTGAAAACATCCTTCTCACAGCAGAATACCAGACATCCAACCGTTTCCACTTTAAGGTTCTTGTTTATTTTTTAAAATCTTTTAAAGAGACTCTTATCTTCTACCTCATAACTTGCAGTTCCTGCAAAGTAGAACATTTTGCTAATGGAGATATTTTTCTCTATTGTCATTATTTGCACTTTTACATCAAGGTCTTCTATCACCTTCCTTCCGTTGTGAAAACTTCCTTAATTCATACAATGGAGTTGGGCTTTCAGCCTTCTTTTATTTGCCCTGGATACCATGTGAAATGTAGAAGGGAAGAATAATTTACCATAGCTTTGAGTTTTCTAGGGATAATTCATTTCTTCAGAATCACAATATATCTCTATCTAAAGACTAACATAGTCCCAACAGATAAACATCTGAAGTTGGTAGTGTAATCGTACATTACCTTAGACATAGTGCGGGTTTGAGCAGTGCCTGGTTTCCAGCACCATCTGCATAGGAAGGGCTGGTACTTGTAAGGCCACTGATATTTTTGAGAAACAGAAATGTTTTCATTGAGGCTTTGTTTCTATCCAACTTTCTGTGCAGTTCACTGACCAAGCCAAAGCCAGGTATGAAGTGCCCCACGAACATGTGCAACCCTTCAGTGGAAATGCTGCCTCTTCCTTGAACTACAAAGTTGAGGTGTCCAAACAGCCATTTAGCATCAAAGTCACCAGAGCAAGCAATAATCGTGTGCTGTAAGTTTTGGAAACTTATCATGGGGATGGGAGTAGAAAGACGATGATTAATAGAAGCCTATAAGCTGTGATCATCTATCTATCATCTCTATCTATCTATCTATCTATCTATCTATCATCTATTTATCATCTATCATCTATCATCATCTATCTATCTATCATCTATCTATCTATCTATCTATCATCTATCATCATCTGTCTATCTAATCTACCTATCTATCTATCATCTATCATCTATCTATTTATCATCTATCATCTATCTATCATCACCTATCATCTATCTATCTATCATCTATCTATCTATCTATCTATCAATCATCT